TGCTGAACCCCTAAACCCTAAACCAGATCCTCCAGATGCCTCAAACACTTCCAGGGATGGTGACTCCACCACCTCCCTGGGCAATCTATTCCAATCTGAATGTCCCATCTCAGTTTATGACCATTCTCTCTAGTCCTCAATATATATCCTATGATACAGACTATGATTTGAAGAGTTAAGATCTGTTCTTTTAAAAATGATAACAGAGGAAAATAACCCAAACTACAAACACATCACAAAATAGGGAATTGCTTTGCAATTTCAAAAGGCTGATGAGATAACCCAGGGATGATAATCCTCACATTCCCTTGTGACAAACAAACTTTTCGTGTTTCAAGGTCTGATACTTGTGGGTGTTCTCCCAACTGCAGTGTTCATAGAGCAGTGAAGACACCTTGATGCAGATACCTGTCACACAGGAGCACTGAAAAGAATCTGACAAAGGTAGCATAAAATGTGCTCTTCAGTCAGATTATGCTCCTTGTCACTATGAAAATCAGCAGCTTTGTTTACATTTATTTCTCAGTACAAAAGGATCATTTCATTCCAGGTGTTCAAGTAGACACTAATCTGGCTGTATGCTTAAAACTATTTTACACTGCATACTTCAAACACACCAAACAATTGTGAGAGCAGCTTAAATTAGCTACGTGCTCAAGTGCTTTACTACACCAGGAGCTAAAGTCAGAAGCTTTAACTGTCTTGAAAATATACTTGTAGGCATTACAGAACACTCTGATAAGGTTGTCATTACTAGCTGAACTAGCCATCAAATCACACCAACCTGAAAAAGCTGTTACGGAGTTTGCTGAGTGCATACATGAATTTCTTTGGTTTTTCTTTTTCATTTAAGATTACAACAACTTTATAACTACTTCAGGTTGCTCAAAGTACAACTTGGATAGAAAACATGCCCATAAGCTCACCATTATCATCATGGGAATATTCTATTCCAGAGACTGTGCATCTTCGGAAAACCATCTTGTTTTCAGTGAGGGTCCCAGTCTTGTCTGAGAAGATAAACTGCACCTGACCTAAGTCTTCAGTGATGTTTAAAGCTCGGCACTGCAGCTGAGAGTCTGTTTCTTCATCGTATAAATCTTTATCTTGATGAATAAAATACACTTGGCAGATCTTAACTATTTCAATGGACACATACAAAGAAATTGGAATCAGAACCTAGGATAGACAAAAAGAGAATTAGGAGAGAACAGAAGCAGGGGTACAATGAATTATTAAAGCTACTTAACTTCAGACTTGACTGAACATAAAGAGGCAATGTACTTTTAGCATCAGCTGTAAAGTTATTACCATGTTTGAAAAAGTTTATTTACTGTGTTAGATGAGGAAAACCTATGGTGAATTCCAGAGCTGGAATGCATTATTATGTCTAGAAGGCTGATTATCAAAACTTGGACAGAAGCAAATCTTTTTTTAAGCTAATAAGCTGAGTTTGAAACTATCTGGGAAAAGAAAAGAAAGAAAAAACAACAACCCAAAACACATCATACAGTCAGAATACTGTAACTGTGAAAGGATTGAATAAACTTGTTCTGCATAAATAATAGAACAGTTACAAATTCACTTTGCAGCAATACAAGAAACAAAATGAGAAGTGTTAATCTCTCCACAGGAACAATTTTTTTTTGCCTTGGCTTTTGTAGTGCAGATTATTTGAATGAAGATCTCATTTTGTAATTGTTGAAGAAGGAGATGTAAAAATATTTTCAGCTGTTTCTTGAGGATTGCCAAAACTTCATGAAACACTTAGTTTGTACTTAGTTTTTCTCTGCAGATGTTTCTTGAGAACAGGAGTTCTTGACTGCATACATTATTTAGTTGCTGAATTAGATATGAGGGATAAATTATGGCATGTATGTGGCAAATGTGGTTATTTCAACAAAAACTGCAGTGAAAGGTTGGTGTTTAAAGAATTCTGTGGTGAATTTTCTTAACAAATATCATAACCCAACTCCTCAGAGTAAAAAGTACTTTAACATACTTTTTCACTCCCTTTTATAAAGCAGTTGCTGCTTCCAGTAAAGCAATCTCCTCTAGTGTCCCACTAGACAAACTTTCATATATCCCAGTGACATGAGACTGTTACTTTTCTTAACTTGCCACCACCTTCACCATTCAATATATTTCTCTTCAGGACCAAAAAACTTGGGAGTTTGTTATCTGGCTGAGATATGGATTTGTTAAGAGCAGTATATTTGGAAAGCTGTTAAACAAGTATCAAATTTATGGTTATATCAGGACACTGTACCTAAAGTGGCACCCACGATCTTTGAGGTGTGGTTTCACAGTGGGTAGACAGGAAACAAAGCTTGTTTTCTCCCTGCAGGGCCCATTGCATTCTATCTCTTCCTACTTGTTGAAAACAAAATGCAGAAACACAGAAATATAGAATGGGTAAGGCTGAAAGGGACCACAGTGGGTCATCTGGGTCAACCTCCCTGCTCCCACCGGGCCCTCCCCGCGCACACTGCCCAGGATTGTGACCAGACAGTTCTTGAATATGTCCAGTGAAGGAGACTCCACAAGCTCTCTGGACAATATTCCAGTGCATAGTCATTCCCACAGTAAAGAAGTTCTTCCTCGTATTCAGGTGAATTAGTTTCTGCCCATTACTTTTTGTGCTATTACTTGAAAAAACCAAGAGGAGCCTGGCTCCATCCTCTACATACCCTCCCTTCAGATATTTATGATGAGGTCCCCTCTCAGTTGCCTCTTCTTGAGCCCAAACAGGCCCAACTGCTTCAGCTTTTCCTCCTGAGAGGGATGCTCCAGTCCCTTAATCATCTTTGTCGCTCTCTGCTGAAC